CTCAGTAACCTCTTGCGCCCTAGTGGCTTTATTGCCTTTGATCTTCAAAAATTTAAATGCAATGTCAATCGTTATCTTCTGTCTTCTTAATTCTTGTTCTTTTATTGTCTTCTTTCCTTAATAGTAGTTTTTCTCATATTCTCTAACACTCAGTAACCTCTTGCACCCTAGTGGCTTTATTGCCTTTGATCTTCAAAATTTAAATGCAATGTCAATCATTATCTTCTGTCTTCTTAATTCTTGTTCTTTTATTGTCTTCTTTCCTTAATAGTAGTTTTTCTCATATTCTCTCTAACACTCAGTAACCTCTTGCGCTAGTGGCTTTATTGTTTTGATCTTCAAAAATTTAAATGCAATGTCAATCGTTATCTTCTGTCTTCTTAATTCTTGTTCTTTTATTGTCTTCTTTCATTAATAGTAGTTTTCTCTTCTCTCTAACACTCAGTAACCTCTTTGCACCCTAGTGGCTTTATTGCCTTTGATCTTCAAAAATTTAAATGCAATGTCAATCATTATCTACTGTCTTCTTAATTCTTGTTCTTTTTATTGTCTTCTTTCCTTAATAGTAGTTTTCTCATATTCTCTAACACTCAGTAACCTCTTGCGCCCTAGTGGCTTTATTTTTGATCTTCAAAAATTTAAATGCAATGTCAATCGTTATCTTCTGTCTTCTTAATTCTTGTTCTTTTATTGTTTTCTTTCCTTAATAGTAGTTTTCTCATATTCTCTAACACTCAGTAACCTCTTGCGCCCTAGTGGCTTTATTGCCTTTGATCTTCAAAAATTTAAATGCAATGTCAATCATTATCTACTGTCTTCTTAATTCTTGTTCTTTTTAAATTTAATAGTAGTTTTCTCATATTCTCTAACACTCAGTAACCTCTTGCGCCCTAGTGGCTTTATTGCCTTTGATCTTCAAAAATTTAAATGCAATGTCAATCGTTATCTTCTGTCTTCTTAATTCTTGTTCTTTTATTGTCTTCTTTCCTTAATAGTAGTTTTTCTCATATTCTCTAACACTCAGTAACCTCTTGCACCCTAGTGGCTTTATTGCCTTTGATCTTCAAAAATTTAAATGCAATGTCAATCATTATCTACTGTCTTCTTAATTCTTGTTCTTTTATTGTCTTCTTTCCTTAATAGTAGTTTTCTCATATTCTCTAACACTCAGTAACCTCTTGCACCCTAGTGGCTTTATTGCCTTTGATCTTCAAAAATTTAAATGCAATGTCAATCATTATCTACTGTCTTCTTAATTCTTGTTCTTTTATTGTCTTCTTTCCTTAATAGTAGTTTTTCTCATATTCTCTAACACTCAGTAACCTCTTGCGTCCTAGTGGCTTTCTTGCCTTTGATCTTCAAAAATTTAAATGCAATATCAATCGTTATCTTCTGTCTTCTTAATTCTTGTTCTTTTATTGTCTTCTTTCCTTAATAGTAGTTTTTCTCATATTCTCTAACACTCAGTAACCCATTGCGTCTTAGTGGCTTTATTACCTTGCTTGGCTTGAAGTGGTTGAAGAAAAAAAGATTAGGACTGTGACCAGCATATCTATCATGCTTGTTATTCTCATAACGTTTCGGTTGCTGAGCTGTACGGTCTTCATCAGGTGTCTCTCATTTAACTGAAACCTTTTTTTTTTTCAATGCACTGGAGTAATTAATTTATTCTCGTTCTTTCTGTATCGATACTCACCGGTTTTTATTGACCTTTGTGTCGAAATTTCTTTCCCTGAACCAACAAGTTTGCTAGGTCTGATCAAGCCAATTTGGCAGCTGATCTTGGAAAGGTCTTTCTATTTGTTGTTAACTGGGGCAAGAAATGATTTTTTAATTTTAACGCCTCCAAATTCACGTCTGCTTAAGAACCACCGAATGATATTTCTTGTTGATTTTTCTTTTTCGATGCTTTCCAAAGAATTTTTTTGTTTGTTATGCCACCAGTTTAATGTCATTAAATTAATATTGTAGGCGCGGTGGAGTAATGGATAGCGGCTTGGATTGAGGAATCGAAGAGCCGTGTTCGAATTCCAGTAGAATCCATTATATTCACTTACATGCTAATACCCTTGGGAAAGGTATGAATCTTCTTCTTCTCCCCCCCCCGCGGCTATTGGTAAATAGCAGCACAGATCGGGTTCTATAGTCTTGGATGTCAACTGGTCTACTGTAGAAAGAAATAGCAAACTGTTGCGGGAAAATATCTGCCTCGTCAGTCATGTATGGAAAGATACATGATCGCCTAAGCGTGTATCACGCATGGCACATAACTGACTGAATGTTGCCTTTTATTCCATTTCCACATACTTAGGTGAATGTTCTATTGTTTATTTTGGTGGGGATTTGTTTTGTTTTATTTTTTTATTAAATCTATCCAGTATGTTAGGTCCGAGGTCAGATGGGATGTAATCATTTAATAATTTGGTAATTGTTATGGTCCGGTTCCTTGTACCACAGTGATAGTCCAAGTTAGAACCAATAAAGAAGAACTCAAACACAGGTAAGGAGTAACACAGATATATTACAAACAGGGATATATACAGAGAAGTAGAAAGTGTTAGTACGAACAATCAGGTTTAGTAGTGATTGTCTGAACGCGACTCTGTTTCGGACTGCCTCTGACTTAACTGACTGACTCGCTCGCTCTGACTGACTGACAGACTCCTGACGGACTGAAGACTTCAGACGGAACTCCAGACTTCAAACGGAACAGTGTTTAGTCCCCCCCCCCACACACCACGAGGGCATCATGTGGCACAAGGCCGGTTTAACGTGGGATCTCCGAGCCCGTGGGCTCGGCCAAAAATATGCCCTTTGAGCCCGTATAAACGGGTTCAGGGTCGGTTTACCTCCCCGAAAGAGAATCCGCCCTTCGGCGTAGACTCGTTCGGGTTCCTCCCCGCCCGAAGGCAGAGAGTTCAACCGATCAGCTGGTCGCCCGACTTCAGACTGAATGGTATTTAGTCACCCCCACCAACGAGGGAATCATGTGGCACAAGGCCGGTTTAACGTGGGATCTCCGAGCTCGTGGGCTCGGCCAAAAATATGCCCTTTGAACCTGTATAAACGGGTTCAGGGTCGGTTTATCTCCCCGAAAGAGGCTACGCCTAAGGGCGGAGTCTCTTTCGGGTTCCTCCCCGCTCGAAGGCTGAGAGTTCAACCGATCAGCCGGTCGCCCGACTTCGGACTGAACTCTCTGCTTCCTCTTGAGATGCAGTATTTATTACGTATGGAATAGTCCATTATGTTATTATGGGTAAGGTCCCATAACAGTAATTGATCTTGAAGACAATTTGCGAAACTGTTTCTTTGACATATTCCGCCGATCAATGGAGGTCATCAGTAAATGGATTCAACCAAATTTCATTAGCGAGGCAAACCATGATTTAAGTCAGTCTCGTGAGGACTTGATTTCTTTGCGTAAACTGTATCGGTTTTGAAATCTTATATTTTAATTAATGCAAATTCAGCTAATTCATTTATCTATTTATTTATTTATTTACATACTCATTATTTTAAGGATTTCGTATCTCACACTGACAATTCATAAAAGTTCTTAAATTTCCATTTTGTCTTGGGGCGGACTATAAATTGCATCCGCGTCCTGGGTAAGACGATAAATTGCATCCGCGTCCTGGGTAAGACGATAAACTGCATCCGCGTCCTGGATAAGAAGATAAACTGCATCCGCGTCCTGGGTAAGAAGATAAACTGCATCCGCGTCCTGGGTAAGACGATAAACTACATCCAACAGCAAGGCCTCTGATCAGGAGGTTATGAGGAGCATGGAACCACCTCTTAATTGCCGGTGTTCCCAGGTCCACCCTGACTCGGGGTGGTAGAAGCTATGAACATATAGTTAACCCACGAGCTTGGGTGAAAATATGTTTTAATACCAGCAATACATTTTTGTAAAAAATTATTACCAGCAATAAATTTTCGAAGGTAAAATTTATTACTAGCAATATTTTATTTATAAATTATTACCAGCAATTTTTTTGGGGGAAAAATTATTACCAGCAATATATTTTTTTAAAATATATTACCAGCAATAAAATCTTGTCGGTATTAAATAACCCATTGATGTTGATATGCCATAAAACAAAAGAAACCAAACCAAATTTTCATTTTACGAGCGTGCATTTGGCATTTATTCTAGACTCTTACCCCTCATATATATATATATATATATATATATATATATATATATGTAATTTTAACTTCCCCAAAACGAAACCACTCTTTTTTAATATGTTCCCTCACAAGCCTCATTTCTCTTGTTGTCCCAGGGTCCCAACACTATGTCTTAATTAACTTTGGTCCAAGCGAATTTGTTTTAATATTGTTTATAGGATATGATAGGTTGTATTTATTATCCACGACCCACCGGTGTATCGCTTCGGTACCTGAGTCCATTTTACAACACAGAGTCCCACACGAATGCAGGGCACAGTTCTGTGTAAGTAAAACTAAAAAAAAAATGAAGAAAAAAAATCAATTGTAGAAACTCTAAAAGAAAAACGAAATAAAAGAAGAAAAAAAAACTATTTAATTAAAAAAAAATAATATGTGTTTGTGTTCTACTATGATCTCACTCCTTCCTGATCGAAAAGAAATTGGGAAACGACCCACTGGAGGGGTCGTGTGGGCCTTGCAGACATATTGCCACGACATTCCAGTGGGGTCGTGTGGGAGCAGACGTGTTATTCTTCTTAGAGAACCTTTTTTTTTTTGACTGGCATTAGCATGGCTGATGCTAACTGATATAATAGAATATGCATACATCTGTGTTCCCCCTCATTGGAGTGTGATTGGCTGGTGTCCGTCATGGGTGCGGACGACGCCCATTGGACTACGCCATTGGCTATCCTATTGGTCTACACCTATTACCTGCGACTACGACGCCTACCAGTTGATTACTGCTACCCTATTCTACTTGGTTATAGTAGCCAAAACCACTTCGCTACTTCGTTCAAATATATCCCTTTCCGGGACATATCATGTATCTACCCCAGTCTGTCCATTATCTATCTATCTATCTATCTATCTATCTATCTATCTCAGTCTGTCGATTATGTATTGATATAATGGAATATGCATACACATGTTCCCCCTCACTGGAGTATGATTGGCTGGTGTCCGTCATAAATACCGACGGACGTGTAGGAGAGTCAGAAGAAAGCCTTAGTCTGAGAACTAAGTCTATAACGACGCCCATTGGACTACGCCATTGGTCTACACTTCTTACCTGCGACTACGACGCGTACCAGTCGATTACTGCTACCGTATTCTACTTGGTTATAGTAGCCAAAACCACTTAGCTACTTCGTTCAAACATATTCCTTTCCGGGACATATCAGTCAGAAAGAACTGTTGAAATTGTTAGATAAGGTTGATATATTTGTGAACGATATTAGATTAATCTCGAACCTATACTGGGAGCAAACCATTTGTGTATGGATAGAAAATGAATTCAGTAGATATACAAAAACTGAATGGGGTGTGAGACAAGGATGTGTCTTCTCATTGGACTTATTCAAACTTTACCTGCGACTACGACGCGTACCAATCGATTACTGCTACCATATTCTACTTGGTTATAGTAGCCAAAACCACTTAGCTACTTCGTTCAAATATATCCCTTTCCGGGACATATCACTAACCTTTGGGAGAGTGACTCATTGTATCTTCTAGGGTTATCGTTTTCCGCTGACATGAAGTGAAAAGTTTACATTGAATCAATTTTAGGTCTGCTGCTAGCAAAGTTCTTTCACTGTCTTGCTAGACAGTTTTTTTTTCCCGCCAGAGTTTATCTTTCATATTTATAAGTCTACCATTCGTCCATGCTTTAAATATTACTGTTACATTTAGCCCGGTGCTTCTGCTATTTATCTAAGAGATTCTTGAAAAAAATCTCAAGAAGAATCTGTAATATTATTGATCCTGACCTAGCATCTCGGCTTCAGACACTTTCCCATCGCCGTAACTTAACTTCCCTGTCTCTTTTCTATAGATAATTTCATGGTAATTGTCTTGAGATGCTTTCCTCTTTGCGACCTCGACTTTACGAATTTAAACGCAGTACTAGATTGGCAGCTAGGTCTTTTCGTTTTACAGTTGAAATGTCTAGATATAACCGTAGGTTCTATGCTAACAGTTTCTTTTCTCGTACTTCTCATTTGTGGAACTCTCTTCCGGCTTCTTGCTTCCCTGTCAACTTTGATCTTCAAAAATGCAAAAGCAATGTCGGTTGCAAATTTTTGTCTTCTTAATTCATCTTCTCTCCTCGATAACATTTTCTCATATTTACATATAATGTTAATGCCTCCCAAACAAAACGACACTCTTTTAATCGTCTTTGAGAAGCTTTTTAGCGTGTCTGATGGTAAATATAATACATATAATAAAATAAATATAATACATATAGTAAAATGAAAATAATACATATAATACATATAGTAAAATGAAAATAATACATATAATATATATAATAAAATGAAAATAATACATATAATATATATAATAAAATGAAAATAATACATATAATACATACAATAAAATGAAAATAATACATATATATATAATAAAATGGAAATAATGCATATAATACGTACAATAAAATGAAATAATACATGTAATACACATAATAAAATGAAAATAATACATATAATACATATAATAAAATGAAAATAATACATATAATATATATATAATAACATGAAAGTAATACATATAATGAAATAATCGTTTCAAGCTGCTTGTATATATATATATATATATATATATTGTTAGTGATATAATTGGCTCTCGCTAGATGAGATGACAAAAAGTAAGATCTTGTCTTTTTTGCAGTACTCGGAAGTAGCACTAAATCTGTGGAAGAAAGAAAAAAGAAACTCACGTTTGTTTGTTTTTTTTTTTATATCAGAATTCGCCAACTTATGGTTTAACAAGAAAATATCCTTATCATTTATAGGAAACTTAATATACATACATACATACACACACACACACACACACACACACACACACATATATATATATATATATATATATATATATATATATATATATGTGTGTGTGTGTGTGTGTGTGTTTTAAGCGATAGTCGAACGACTTAAACCAAGCAACCGGCTAATGTTCGTTACTGTTTCTCCTTTTTCTGGGCGTTTAACAATGTCTAATTTCACTGCCATTCCGTTTCTTCGGAGCAACGCCATCAGGAGAGGCTTCCTGCCCTTGGGAGCCATAATGAAGAGCAACAAACTTTAAAAAAAACAACGCTAATGAAAGAGAGCGAATGTACAACAATCCAATATGCAATAAAAAGAATAATGTTTATAATATAATATTATGTTTAATGTTATACTTAATGTTAATGTTATGTTATTAATGTTATGTTAATTATGTTATGTTAATAAAATATTAATGTTAATAATAATAATGTTAATATAATAATGTTAATGATAATAATGTTAATATAATAATGTTATGTTAATAATTATGTTAATGTTATATTCCGTGCTAATAGGAATATGGAATAGACAAAGACGATGGATAAATAGTAACAGGTTTATTGTAGAAACCAGTACAACAAGCAAGGAAGTAATAGTTATGAGCACGGTCGTCGCAAGTCAGTACAGTTGAGTGAGTGCTGTTATCGGAAGGCCGCTAGTCTTGCAGATCCTAGCTCGAAGCTATTTAGCAACTGCCCCACACAGTCACATGTGGCACAAGGCCGAATTTACTGTGGGGTTTCCGAATCCGTAAGCTCGGCCAAAAATCCCCGTAGACCCCGCATAAACGAGATCGGGTTTGTCTACCTTCCCGGACGAGACTCTGCTCTTCAGCATAGCCTCGTTCGGGTTCCTCTCTGCTCGAAGGCAGAAAGTTCGACCAGTACAGCTGGGAAAAGTCCCAGCTCGATGTTATTTATTGTACGTTAAGTGTACACATGTGACACAAGGCAATAAAGGGGAAATCGGGAAAAGGACGGTCATCATCTGTCTTAAGATTAAACTTAGCTAGTCACAATCACTGACCCAGACAAACCAACAATATTCCATTCACCAAAACAACGCATTCTTACTTGCCATTCTTTCTTCAAACACCATAATGCCTCAGAAACTCTATGAAGTCCTAAACTAGTCCCTATATTTACAATTCATTGATTGGGGGGGGATAAAAATAACAATTTAAAATCTAAAAAAGCCCAATGAGTATTTACAAATGTCCACAAAAATCTATGTACAAGAAACTAAACAAAAATTTTGTTAGTAGTAAAACCCCACGCAGCCCTAACTGTGGTAGAAGTATTAGTCAACTGGACGAAATCAATGTGGGACTTTAAAAAAATATAAAACATTCATACAAGCCATGCACTAACTACAAACACTCACTCATTCAAACACAATAACAAATATGAAAAACACACTCGAAACGAAAGGCGCCCCGCACTCACCAGAGGACTGACATCACTAACCATCTACTAGTGGGAGGGATGGGGAATTAAACAAAAAAAAAAAAATAAGGGCAGAAATAAAAGGGGCCAATGAGCATACATACCCTAGCTAAGTTAACTTTCAAAAAGGAGAGAAAGCTAAAACAAAAACCGACCTAAACTAACCTATACACAAGGGGAGGGTTGCCAATGTTCAATCCAGCAATTCCCAAAATTCTTAATGCCTAACCGGCATCAAAATGCCACTCTAAGTCAGCACCTTTCATTCTGCAGATACACGCAAGACTCACCCACCTTTCGCCAAATTCCAGTCGCTTCCTTTCCGTCCTGATCTTGACTTTAAGCTGATGCTTAAAGAAAAGGATCAGTTGGGAGGAGGTAAACTTCTCGGCCCCATGGAATTCCTTCTGTCGCGTCGCCCATATCACGACTCGCATAACCCCCCCAGTAAGCAAAGGAACACATAGTGCTCAGCCTTAGTCAACAACGGTGCTATATTGCTACAGACAGAACTGGCCTCGAGGACACGCAGCATACGAACCATAATGTCTTCAACAAAACTTGCACAACGGAGCTACGACACTACACTGAAAAAAGACATGACCTAGGGTCTCCACCTCCGCACTGCAGCGAAGGCAGTTTGACGACTTTACCAAACCCGCCGAACAAAGTCTCTTGGCGACCCTGAGGGCCCCACGAATCATTCGCCAGGTGAGTGATGCCTCAGTGTTAGTGAGACATTTCAGCCCAGGCGCCCAAGGCCATATGCAGCGAGCCTCCCTCTTCGTTAGTCCGAGCTCGCCAATAATGGCATCCTGAACGTTCCCCTAACTAACACTTTTTATAATGCCTTACGAGACAACGGCTGGACGTCGGAGAGGCCATCCTTCGCCCGGAAAAGTCGCTTGAGGGCAAGCCGACATTCACGATAAAAATAGCCTTCGCCACGAGGAGTACGGCCGGCCGGCCTCCTCCTCACACGAGCGCACAATTCTCAATGATGGGAAATTTTTATGTGCGTCTTCCTTCCAGAATTCGCCGTTCTCATCTAATTGCATACACATCCGGTCTAGATAGGTAATGCCAAGCGTATGTTGACGAGTATTAACGCAAGGCACCCCCAGACCGCCATCAGAGGGATGGCGGTAACAGATCTCGCGACTAACCATGGCGGCCTAGCCTCTCCACAAGAAGGAAAACAAGAGCCTTACGAACGCCAATAAAGTGTCAGACGATAGTGGAAGCACGGAGAATCGGGTAGATGTGCGAGGTACATTCTTCCGCCTTCCCCTTCAAGGAAAGATTCCTCCGAGTCCACAGACGAACTGCGCCCTCGGCCTTCTCTCTCACTTCCGACCAATTAATTTCCAACAGGAGGTCGGGATCGAACCAGATACCGAGTATCTTTACCAGAGGAAAGGTCCGGGAAGAGAAACTCCCTTCCATGAACCCAACCGCAAGCCAACATCGTGGTTGACCTTGGCCCCTGTCACAATCTCATACCCTTTGATTTTTTTGCTGACTTCGTTAATCTCGGCTCTGCTCGACACCAAACTGAAACGTTATCAACATAGGCGGAGTACCTGGCCGAGGTGGTAGCACCAGGCAAGGAAATTCTGCGAAGGACCGGATTCGTCTTCAACTTACGCAGGAATGTTTCCAACGCAAGAACGTACAGCAATGGAGACAGCGGACATCCTTTACGAATGGAGCGAGACAATATGAAAGGTTTCGACCTTACCCCATTCACTTCTACCAGCGCACAGGGGAACGCATACAGCAGTCGGATCCAAGTGCGAAATCAGTCCCGAAACCGGCAGCCGAAAGAACAGCCTCCAGAAACCGATGGTCAACCCTATCGAAAGCCTTGGACTGATCCAAATTGATTAGCGCAGCATCACTGTCGACTTACTCGATGATCAAGCGTACCAAATGAAGGTTGTCCTGAATAGTCCTGCCCTTCATAGCAAAAGTCTGCGGTCAAGTCAGAGTCGAACAAAACGAGAGAAGATCGCAGCTCGGCTCTCTCGTCCGCAGTCCTCACGGATACTTATAGGTGGTTACCACCTATAGTGCCACCACTCATGGGGGTAGCAGGTTATTCCATCACATCAGTTAATAATTAATGTTATGTTATGTCAATGTTATGTTATGCTAATGTTATGTTTAATGTTATTTTTTCTAATAATGTTTAATAATGTTTAATAATGTTTAATTAATGTACAACAATCTAATATGGCGTACAACCAGGAATTGACCTTATATACGAGGAAAACGGCATGAATCGAAACATGATTAATGGAGATTGTGTCGTAAACACGAAACGTCGTAGGTCGGGGAGTTACTGTATTATGAATTTAAGAGTAAGAAATGAGGGTTATATGGATATTGAAGACAGGTAATGACTGACCCTTGATTTCATTGTTTTTAGGGTTCGAAAAGAATTCAAGTGGGGGTCTGCTACAAAGTAGTGGTTCTTGGTGCCAAAAAAAGTTCTATGAGTGAACTTTCTCCTGACAATTGGAAACCGGAAGAAATGAAGTTGGCTCGCCTCCGTGGATACAGTATTGCGATATTAAAAAAATTAAATGCAAAAGTCATCACTATCTCCTGACTTCCCTGGAACCTGTTCTTTTATACTCCCTTATATAGAGAATAAAACGACTTTAGTAAGTCGTTTTATTCTCTGCCACTTCCAGTAAACCCTTGCGTCTTAGTGGCATTATCGCCTTACTTGGTGTGAAATGATTCAAAATAAATAAAGAAAAGAAAATTGACCAATATTTATCTATACACCCAAGTATAAACGCGACCAATATTCATTCATGTGGCAACTCAAGTATAGTCAAAACCGATTTCAGTATCAAATTTACACAAGGGTGGATATGGAACGAACTCCGCCAACCAGACCTGACCCAATTCATAATAGTAAATGACATTGGAGTTATGTCTAAAAGACAGAATTTTTGTTATATGTCTTTATCTAATAGAAGACTCAGGAGCCATTCAATCTAGAGGATTTCTGAAAGAAGATATGAATTTAAGAGTAAGAAGTGAGGATGAGGTGAATATGGAAGATAGGTAATGATTGACCTACGACTTGAATTTGAGTCTTTAAGGTTCAGGGAAGCGTCCACGAAGAAGCCTCTTCTACAAAGCAGTGGTTTTTTGGTGTAAAAATAAACAAAAAATCGGTCTGAGTTGAACTTCCGCCTGATAACCGGAAGAAGTCCGTGGGTCCAACATGGCGGGTTTTCGTTGTAAATGCCTGAATTGGTGGAAGAGAAGAATGGTAATTGTATAACGGTATAAGGACCGAATTTTCAGGTGCCTCAACGAAACCTAATGATTAGCGAGCATAGTTTACATTATTTACATTATTGTCGCCATATTTATTACAACGTTTCGGCCGGTACGCTATATCAGACAGTTTGAGAAGCATTTAATTGGAATGTCGAACTGAACACTTTATTTCGCTCACTGGGTAAACTGTTCTAGTTATCAGTTGCTCCACTGCCTTAACTGGGTATTGAACTCACACTCTTTGTGTCCTGTCACTGGCTCTAATTAACGCCTTTATCCACCGTGCCATGTGTCCTTCTGGGTATTATAAACCTAATGTCTCAGCAACCATTTTTACCAGTGCTCATATTGCAATTTTTGCTGTTATCATACCATGTTTTTACCAGTGCTCATATTGCAACTTTTGTTGTTATCATTGCTTTTCTCTGGCACTCCTTATTACTGGTTCCCATATTGTATTTATTTCTATGCTTGCTCGGCTCAGGAGATTTTTGTAGCCTAGCATATGTGCTGAAGAAGGCCGGAGCGTACAACGGCCGAACTGTTGTAATAATTATGGCGACAAAGATGAGGACAATAGTCCGAATAATGTAAATAGTGTACATAATACCCTATCTTAGAAATATAGACAGATACTGAAATATCGGATAAATATGGCTACAAAGTTTAGGACAATAGTTCGAATAATGTAAACAGTGTACATAATACCTTATCTCAGAAATGGAGCATATTTTAGTTCAGTGCTTCTCAAATTATCTGATATACCGGCATTTTTTTTCTTTTGTCAATGTGCGAGGGATCGTTGGCTTTCCACTCAGCTAGGCTTACTCAAATTTATTTTTCTTTTTTTAGATATGTCTTATTTCAGGGTCGTTTTACTAAACACGAGAACATGATGTCTTATTCATTCTCAGGTTAGTCATTATAGACGAATCAAGTCTTACCATATTTGTGCCATATAATTATATAATAATGTGCCATATAATTATACAATAATGATCCAAGAAAATATTATTTGAACACTCATAGTATTATTCATTTATATCAAAAAAATATATTTAATATAATAACAGTTGCATCAGTTTTTATTTTATATTGATTTTGTAGAAATATATGTCCATGAAAATGGCCTTTTGATTTTCCTAGGTGTGGTTTCCACACATTCAAACGCCACATCATCAGAATAGTGTTGACATACGTATTTTACTTCACTGTTTTGCTGTTCATTATATAGCATTCGTTAATTGTATAGCAATGACTTTTAATATGAGTGACTGTTTGAAAAGTGTAACTATAATCAATATAAAACTAAAATGAAAATATTTAAAAAAAAAAAATTAATCAGATATCCCGGCAGTCTCCCGTGGCATGGAATGTGACTACTGTTTCTTTGTTTCTTGGAAACTCTTCGCGTACCGGTAGACGATGGGCCGAATACCGGCACCAGTTCTTGTACCACACTTTGAGTAGCACTGGTCTAGCTGATCCTCACTACTGAGCAGTGAGTTCGATTCTAACTGGGTGGCCTATTTTTCTGGCCATGAGTCAAACGAAGCTCACACCTCCCCGTCTTTTGAACAGGAGTAGAGGTTTATCCCTTGTTTCCTGTTTAGGATTGGGTTTCCGGTTCTTTCGAAAGTCTACTTCAACTCTTTAAGTCTAACGTTTCTGCTTAAACTCTGAAATTTTTATTTATTTTTTCATTTTATTTGCTATCATTAATTTTGTTTTTTTCTCCTCAACAGGAGTAGATAGGTTTGCCTATCGCCCGGTTCATACTCCTCCCCAGTCTTTTGAACAGGACTAGAGGTTTATCCCTTGTTTCTTGTTAAGAATTTTGTTTCCAATTCTTTCTAAAGTCTCTTTTAACTTTATACTTCTAACGTGTCTGCCTAAACCCTGAGATTTTATTTGCTATTTATTTTTCTCTCTTCAATAGCATTAGACAGGTTCGCCTATGGCCCGGTTCACACTCCTCCTTGATCTTTTGAACAGGAGTAGAGGTTTATCTCTTGTTTCCTGTTTAGGATTGGGTTTCTGGTTCCTTCTAAAGTCTACTTCAATTCTATACTTCTAATGTCTCTGTCTGAACATTGAAATTTTATTTACTAATTATTCATTTATTTTGTTTGTTTTTGTGTTTCTCCTCAGTCGGAGACGATATTTTCGCTTATCGTCCGGTTCACACTCCTCCTCGCTATTTTGAACAAGAGTAGATGTTTATCTCTTGTTTCCTGTTTAGGATTGGGTTTCCGGTTGCTTCTAAACTGTTTTCATTCTCTTTCACTCTCGTTGAGTCTTAGTGGCATTATCGCCTTTCTTGGGGTGAATTGATTAAAAAAAAGAAGGAAAAATGAAGTTTATTAAATAACAACAATCCGACATCTGGCACCAACATCCGAATAAGAGTAATAAAAAAATAATTAAGTTTGAGGAGACACTGAAACTGTCTACAACACGGTGATGCTGGTCTATGCTAGAGTACTGGGAAAGGTGGTGGAGATTTGAAGAAATTTGTTGTCACTAATCTGCATGGATAAGCAGACCATATATCTGGTGTGAATATGTCAAAAGATAATAATAATAATAATAATAATAATAATAATAAAAAACCTCCTCCTCTTTTGCTAATAGTTGAGTCGCATGTGACAAATCTTGATCCATCCGGAACGTATTTCAATAAAATAAATGAAATAAATAAATTTAACCAATTCACAATAAAGAAAAGCGCATGTGGACAGAGTTATCTGCCCTTCCCCTTTCGCCACCATTTTTTTTTTCTTTTCTTCTTAGAAAGAAAATAGGATCAAAATTTTTATTGTCGGATTCATATTATTTTTCCCAAGATCTTGGGTTTATTTTTGGTTTCATTTCTTTTCTTTTTTGTTTTATTTTTAAAAAAATTATCCCACATTGAGGTGTTGTGTGTATCTTTTCTTTCCGTATTTTCTTTTTTTTTCTTCTTTTTTTTATATATATATATATATATTGAGACGAGTGTTATCTTTGCTTTCTACATTTTTAGTGCTAAGCTTAAATACGTGATCCCTTCGTCCCGTCTTCATTGAATTACTGTTGATTTTTACTGGGTGTCCCCTGATTTCCCTGTGGACCTTACTTCCAATTAAGGGACTCGCGGTAGCTGGTCTGCTTTGCACTCTTCCTCTTCCACTGCCATCAGGATCCACCGACCAACATCCTCATCATCTTCTTCTTCTTCCTTTCTTTTTCACCCTGCCTTTCCCCACTATTTCTGATCAGGGCCATTCTTCTTCTGTTTCTTGCCGCCATATCCCCAGAACGCTTTCTTTTCTCTTTACCTTCACATTTTCTTTTCGACCCAAACCTCTCATAAGGCAAATCCACCCCACGCACCCTACTCAGCCTGGCGCACACAGTTTTCCTACTTCTGAGACCAGTCCCACGTCATGCACCCGCTTCGCTCGCTCGCTCGTTC